AATAAAATAAGGTGCGCCTAGCGGTCGTTTTAATTTTTTGCAAATATTTTTAGGTTATGTGTAAAAAGTGTAAATACACAAATTGTAGATAATTTGATTACATTAAGCCAAAGATTGATATTCGATAAGAATTGTAGTTTGATCCCTTTCCACCCTTAAAGAGTCACCCCTCCTACGTTTTCGGACTTGAAATCGACCATAGGTAGATTATTTCCATTTTTATAATAATATTTCTTTCCTTTGAAATGAGTTTCAATCTGTTCTGGATTTGTTTGGTCTCAATAATTTATTATTGGCACGGATCTATAAAGCAAATGTGAAATCTATGTAGGTGTTGTTATTGTTACGGTCACAGACAGATCGAAATAGATACCGCAAGTGTATGTACTTCGCGTGATAAAAATATGTCAAAAAGGTTGACGGTCCTCCTATAATATGCTATTGTACTTTTTCGCGTCACCGTTCTCGGCACTGAATTACAATAGAAATTTAAAAAAATGTCTAAGTGACAAATCAAGCTGTAAAAGTAATAGAATTGAAATGGATGAACGGGTCCAAGCTTTTCCGCCACCGAATCTGTTCTCAAAATCACTTAATATGATCGTCATCTTCTTAAATCTAGGTCTGTGGTTATGTGGTTGCAGCGGTCTTACAATACATGTACCTAATTTTGCACTACTTTTGCAACCCCCTTACAAATTGGAGATACGTGAATCGTTTAAATGACTAGCTATCAATGATAAGAATCAATACTCGTATTTGCAAAGCGGAGAGTTTTTTAATCACTGGCCTCTCCTTGAAGTGCCCAGAAAAGTTACAGACTCAAGGGGTTAGACCGGCGACGTATCGAGTGCTCTAGGATTCACAATTCACAGGGGAGCGATAAATTAGGCGACAGGCGATAGTAACCCTTCCCCTGCGAGCATGCGTTAGTTTTATCGCCGGCGAGTTAGGGTTATGGGTGGCGATATTTCCTTGCGTAGTTTTGTCTACGGCTAACTCGATCCGTAGCATAACTCAAGAGTCCATTTGCATTTGTCAGGGACGTTTTTTGACCTTACTATGCACAGTGTATGTATATCGATTTATACAAATGAATTTAAACATTATAACTACATAGCAGCAATTATGAAAAAAAAATGCAGAATATTAATTAATTTGCAAATTGTTATCCTTTGAGGTTTATTTTACAGCATTACTGAATGTGAAAATGGAAAATATATTTTCTGAATATCGTTTAATATTTATTTTTGTCTTTATCCACCACGTCTTCTGTGGGTCTCTTGAAAATTGAAAATTTCTGTTATTAATAAAAAAGTTAATAATAAAAGTGGTTCTTTTCTAGTGCATACAGTTCAAACTACATGAACACGAAGGAACCTAGAATCAAAACACCAGTCCAGGTTATACACAATCACGGAATTTGATAAATATGAGGTTAGGTGCACTGGTTTCTTAGTGATCGAGTGTTTTTATTTTGAGGCGATAGTTGATTGAACTTAATGTCAATAATGAAAGAAACTCTACGAGCAACAAAGATAAAGTGCAAGCCATTATCGACCTTAAATAAGATGATCACTTCATTGAATTTACAAATAGCTGACAATGTCACTAGGCATTCTCTACTAGTCGGCTGGAAAAGTAGTGGAGAATAAAAAAGACAAATCATCAAGATATGGTCCACAAAATCCAAGCTGTGGATGTAGCCTAAGATACTCATACCTGGAGTCATTGAGATATCCTTGAGTAAAGACAAGTTGGATTATTAATTCTTTTTTTGAACGATTAGAATAACTTTAAAATTGTTAAATTAAGCAATAAAGCGTAATGTGATTTTTTTATATATAATTGAAAACTTGACATACCATGATTATTTTGAAACTTTAGCTTTAAATTTAACTGCTAGGTCGGCATAAAGCTCTAGTAATTTAATTACTGCAGAAACGCAAACGATCATGCTACAGAAAAAAGTGCAGTCTTCGTTACCCGTATCAAACTTCGTTTACACATTACATTCGTTTGTACATTCGTACACTATTGTAAGTTACGAGTAAGCATTTTATCATTAGAGGATAAATAAATATCCCATTCATTCCGATCGACTCAAAAATAATAAAAAAACTAGTTATGCCCTGCGGTGTTACCCGCGGTTTATAAGGGATATTTTCCTGCAGTAAAACGCAGCCCATAGTTAATAATTAACACATAGTTAATCCAGGGAGTCAGCTAACTTCATACCAAATTTGATTAAAATCGCTCCAGCCCTTTAGACGTGAAGACGTAACAAACATACACATTTACAGACTTTCGCCTTTATAATATTAGTGTGATACTCCAAAAAAAACAGAAGAAAGAGGTGCTATCATAGAAAATTCTTGTCATGCTCAAATTCCCTATCGTTGACAATAAATTATATCTAATACGACGTGAAATATTCTGAAAGGGTATAAGAATAAAATTTTCATTGTCAAAGAGTGAGGCTGGAAATCCACTCGCGGGAGTGTCGCGGAGTCCCAGTAGACACCGGTATCAGGTAGCAGGCATCATTTGCTTCTACGTATTGCAAACTTTACTTGAAGAATTCTGAAGTTCATTCGTATCGATAAAGAATACTATCAAGCTATTTTTGGGGTTCCGTACTCAAAGAGAATAAGCGGAACCCGGAAATGAAATGCAAATATACTTTATACAAATAGACTTATTGAAACCGCTTTTGAATCGTCCAACATTTTTTTCTAGTAAATAAATATTTAAGGGGTATGGGAGCCCCATACAAAAAACGTGATGATTTTTTGCCATTTTGTACTCTATATTAATAACGGTAACAGGTGGACGCTTGAAATATTCACAGAATATTTAAATTCACTTTAAACATTTAAGTGGGGATCCCATACAACAGACGTGATTTTTGATATTACAATAAGTGTCCATTATTGTATAGATAATTCGTGACCTTTCATGCGCAAGTCCGATTCACACTTGGTCGGTTTCTTTTTCATCTAAACCTCCAGCTGCCAACAGCACGAGTGATATATTTGGTATCGCAAGCATCTTTAGGCTTTGGCAATGGGCATTTAGTACTTCTGTATTCATAATCAGTGTTACTCGTTATAAGTAAGAATATCATAAGATAGCCAAATACATCCAAATCTGTATGTGAATTTTAAAGTTTAGGTGGAATAAAGAATCGCAACGCAGAACGAAGTTCACCTACCTACCTATGTTTAATGTTAAAAAGAGAACGACCTTTTCAATCTTTCTTTTTCATCTCATAGTTCTATTTCGAAGCAGTTCCTAATTTTTTGGAAGCTTTTTGACGTGTTTTATGATAATCATTTAAATATTACTCTAGTTTTTGGCAGTGGTGTAAAACGCACGTCAGAATTATGTAATAAGGGTAAATAAAACTAGTTTCAATGGGTTAATGCACGAAATTTTATTTATTTATTGACGTTCCGCAGCCTTTTCAGGTCTTTCTGACGAAGCAGACCTGAAAAGGCTGCGAAACGTCAATAAATAAATAGAGTTTAGTGCATTAACCCGTTAAAACTAGTTTTATTTAATGAGTGATGTGCGTAAAAACCTAAGAAACAAATATAATAAGGGTAAACTCCTCAGTTCTTATTAGAACCTGCATTTTCAACTACCTAATCTAAGTGGTTGTCCTATATGTACCTACCTATAGATCCAAAATTATTCAAAAACCATTCGTTCTAACCTTGAAAAGGTACTCAAAAATTTAACTTGACCGCGCTAGACAAATAAAACGTTCAAAAAATCCTCTCTAAAATATAAATCGAGTTGTTGTTAAACCAACTTAGGTATTACAGGACACGGCGCACTTCCATCGCTAGTTTACTCGGAACTTTAACAATGGACGCGTGTAGTAATACAAGTAGAGAACAGCACTCATGCTGAGTGTGGGCAAGCTAAGCCGATCGAAAGAACTCCAACTTCTGAATAGACGAACGACTAACAACAGCTGGAGGTGACGTGGAACTTTCGCAACTCCTTCAGGACAAGGAAAGTAAAGCTCTCCTGATGAACTTTGTTCGGAAAAATAGGGTTGCGTATAGGCCAGACTGGCTGATCGTTATCTCATCGTATAAGTTGATATCTGACGGTTATTCTAAACGGAGTCGTTAAAAAGATTTCTAGAACTTGTTGAAAACATTTTTTACGAAACATACCGTAGGTACCGTTTTACATACGTGATTTCGCATCTTTTCTCTTAAGGGAGTTGGAAAAACATTATATTATAGATAGTAGGTGAAAGGCTTGAAATATATTTGTGTAAGAATAAATTGTACAACGTGCAATTTATTTAACACGATACAAGATATCAGTATCGATTCAAATATTTATTTTATCAATGATATCAATGATTGCAGAAACTTTTTATATTGATACCATCGTTATTAACAATGAATATAAGTACCTTATTGAATATTCATGCATGCATTTATATATATCCGTACTTTGGTCATAAAGTTTTTGACAAAATAATTATGTAAACGCGGTTTCAATACCTCGACTGCTAAGATCGGAGCGACTGTCTATAAAGATCTGATTCTGATAAATAATATGTGTTGTTTAATAACCCCTCCAAGCATTAGAAGATGGCAAAACCAAAGTCATCATAGAAATCCACCATTTCTTGTCGGTAAACGAAAAAATAGTCTGTAGGAATACTTTTAATAAAAAAACACAAAAATTATTATTAATCAGCCATAGGTTACATCCTTTTAAAATGTACTACAAAAATCACGCATGAACCAGTACAACTTAAATAGACTACGCACAAAATACAAACCATAATAATATAAATTATAAATGTTCTAAATCATTTATGTAATTATGATACCAAACTTGGTATAAATTGAAGGCAGGGGATAATATAAAATTACAAGCTTAAGTTACACCTAAATTAAATTGATTGATTACTCGCAGAAGTCGTATAGTATTCAATTAGTTTTACTAGTTAATATTTCGTGACTTACCTCATCGGCTTGAAAAGTGCTTGGATCCCGTTTGGATAGTCGATAATCAATTTGAGCTGCGTCCCACCTTCCTTTTGTTCTGTCGAAGATATCAAATTCGTTTTATTAGACATACAAAAACAAAATAATATAAAGATAAATTTATTTTATTTATTTATTTTATTCTTCATGCACATACTGTACAATGGCGGACTTAATGCCGTAGGCATTCTCTACCAGTCAACCATAGGGTGTTGTGGAGATTTTAGTGGCAGGGTGCACAACTGAGGTGGAGATCACATTTAAAGAAATATTACTCATAATAAATATATAACAATAACATACATAAATAAGTAAATATATACAAATTATGTAACTAAACATATACATACACATACATATATACTTCATATAATACATACATGACGACAAACTACTTAACGAAACGCTTGTTCCAATAAAAAGGTTCGCAGCTTGGTTTTAAAGGAATGTTTGTTGGGGGACATTCTAATGTCTAGCGGGAGTTCGTTCCACAAAAGTATAGTTTTCACGAAGAAGGAAGAGTGAATGATATCGGAATTGTGAGATGGAACGACTAGTAAACGATTGAAAGAAGATCTAAGATTTTTAGTATGAGAGGTACATAAGTACTGAAACTGAGAAGTGAGATAAGGGGGGGCATTTGGAGAATCCAGCAAAGTGAACAAAGTGGTCATAAATCTTCAGAGTTTCTATTTTTTCGTTAGGAAGTAACGGATTTGCGTATAAGGGTGACATCAACTGTTATATTAGTGTATGTAGTAATTTATAAATAGATTATACACCACAAACAACATTAATTTACTGATTAACATTAGAAACCTCAAAAATTATTAATAGAATAATAAATTATCATTACAATTATTTGATGAACCAGGAAAATTTAAGCATTTGTGCTTTGCGAATTATTTATTCACTAGTCAATATTAATGTTTTCTACAACACATAGAAAAATAAATAATTTAAAGAACTGAACTGCTAACGGCCAAAATTAAAAACAAAACAATTTCAAAAAGTAATTGCGGTGGAATAGTCATTTTGAAATTGTGTTTTTCTTATATTATGTTCGTTGTTTGGCAGTATAATCGTGTGTATTTTACACGACTGTCCAAAAATTAGTGTAATGTATTCAGGGTTCATGTATGTGTGTATGTACAATTCTTTATTCCGCTATAACTTCTAAACGCCTGAACCGGTTTAGGTGTGTTTGATTTCGTTCAGATACTTTCACCATCCCGGGTAACATAGGATACCTAAACTATTAAAATTGAAATAACAGTAATGTCAATTATTAATGTTAATTTAAAAAAAAGTCTTCTAATTATTACAATAAAGGTATTATTTGAAAGGTCTTATATCAAATATATACATTTTTTTAGTTAATTTTTAGCAGCAGTCGTTTTTTTATTTTAATTTATTATTAATATTGTGATATCGCACATATATAATTAGTAAACTTTTCCGTATGCCAATATTCAGCAGTGGGTGTCGTACGGCTTAGATGATGATAATGTCGAAACTATTTATTGTCCAATAGCCCAATAACCTTCTATTAAAACGAAAACTATTGAAACATCAGGCTGTATAAGAAACCTAACGCAATCTATATCCAAAAATAACCTCAATGCAATGGAGTCGGGTCCGACAATGAAATCCATTTAAGTGGTTTAAATATTTAAATCCAATCTAAAGTAAAGGGCGTGATTGTTGTGGCACTATTGTCCGTCGGATCTGCCCCGACTGATTGCGGACTCGACTTCATTTAATATACATTTACATCGCGGTTATGGACAGGTGGATAGAGCCGTTCTTTCTTCGAGACAGTATTCAGGAGCGGATTTACGTTGAGGCTTGGGGGGCTAGAGCCCCGGGCCCCGCACCGGTCATCCCATGAAATACCGAAAAGATGTTTGACCTGTACACGTATCCCTCCCTTCTACATAAGAAAAAGTTCTTGCCAACAATCCAATATATATAGTTGCTTAGAGAGTAACATAACGTGTTATGTATTAGCTAACATTCCCATTAATGCATATTATGCATAAAAGCGGAATTTAGAACATTTGGGAATCAGATGATTTTCATATCCTTAAATGGGCCCCGCATCAATTTCAGCCCCGGGCCCAACCATTTTTAAATCCACTCCCGACAGCATTGTATCATTATCATGGTAAGCCTAGCTTTTTACCACCTCAGCCCCCGTAGCATTAGCACCGATATAGAATTTTATCGACAGTCAAATTTCAAACTCTATTTTGTTTTATATCAAAAGGGTGGCAAACAAGCATATGGCCCGGCTGATGTGAGCTGACACCAAAGTCTATAGTATAGACGCTTGCGATACAAAAAATATCACTCGCCCCTTTGCCTGCCCTGTCCCAATCCCCTACACCGTAGAGCCCTGGCACCTTACTCACAGACGGAAACACAACACCAGCAAAAGCTAGAATTATATTACTGTAGTTTTCTGTAAGTTGGATGTTACTTCCCCAGAAAGGCGCTTTAATTCGAGCGGCAGAATCGCTGTGGCCTACGTCACTTCATTGTAGTTTGATAGTCAATGTCGATGAATCGCTTTATCATATTGCGTTTTAGTGCTCATGTTAGGGGGATGAGATGGCAAACACGATACCTATATAGTCGATCTGAACTGATCTGCAATGCTATTGTCAATCATAACGAACCGCCGCCGTGACTGCGACATTATCAGTCAGATCTATATCAGAATAGCGTCTAATTCTTCTGCTTTTCTAATTCTATTTTCATTCTTCCTAGTTAAACGGTGGACTTCTATTTCACTCAATCAGACATTGAGGAAATTCTATACATTTTCCGTGATGTTGTTTCCTCTTTCTCTAGTTCATCGATCTTCTAAAATAACATGCGTTTCCCTTATGTGATCATACGCAGATGACATCATGTTTTTATTTATTATTAAATCATTATATTAACTGATAGTCCAAGACCCATCACAAATACACACAATACTGTGTATAAGCGTGATGGGTCTTGGCCCATTATTACACACAGTTATGTAGTACAGGAAAGATCTGTGCCCCAACAGTGGGGACAGTAGTAGCTTGATAATGATTACAATGAGTGGATATAGGATATCACTTATTGGATGGATTTATATTTTAAAAAACCATCAGAGGAAATTATTGAAAATAATTATGTCAACATTAACACACATGTTTGTGTACACAGATATATTTGTGACACGAGATATTTTCCGTATTGATTCAGTCATATAATTATTTTGGTTTATTAGCATAAGATTATCATGCTTTATATATAAACAATCCCACATTGTTAACATTTTGTTTTCATTCGGAAATTGCTAAAATAATTGATATATCGTTTTTCGTCATTTTATATATATTTTTTGATTAGTTTTAGTATTTGAACTAAGTTTAACAATGACTTGGCGGATCCCCATCCGAATAAAAATAGGCGAAAAAAGTGAATGATTTTTCACGTCATTTCACGTCACAACTGTCAGTTGTTTCGATGCGTATTTTGCGTAGTTGTGTAATTTTACTTATGCTTATTATTACCTTTGTTCTACTATAGAGCTAGCAAAAAAAAAATTTCCAAAGAATTATTTAAATATAAGAGAACAAGACACAACAAAAAATATTTGATCTATTAACCTTATTGAATAAAATAAATGAATATTGCACCTAATAAATCTAAAATATATGGACGAAAACTGGACAGTAGTGTTATAACCACAAAGCTGATTTAAAATTTAAAGCCAATAAGAACTATTTACATCATCGCTTAAAATTGAATTTATGCTAGTCCGTTAGATTTCGCTAGGAATGGGAAAGCCCCTTAAAAGTTGCCAGTGCTTTCTAAGTTATACAAAACCGTTATTGGGTATTTATAAGGACTACCATAAAAGTAAAATATTTAATATTATATTTTATTTTTTTAAGCATTTACTGCTTGTTGTTTAAATCTAAAGAAAATTTTACTAGAAAAACTTCCAAGCGGACCAGGCCGCAGCCGGGACTTAGTATTACTAATACTCATTCAATAAGCCCCAAAGAAAGCACTGTAAGGTTTATGCTATGCGATACTATACGTATCGGAGTATATTTTTATAACAAAACGTAATATTAATGCTAAGAACCCCACTCGATTGGGAGATTAAAATAGAATTTAAACCAAAAATAATAATAACATTCTTTATTGCACACAACAAAGGACACATAGACATAAACTTGGAAAACAGAAGAAAGAGGATACAATGGCCGGCCTTATTAATAAAAAGCAATCTTTTCCAGGCAACCTATGGTGTATCGTGGAAAAGGAATAATAAAAAAGAAATATATAGAACGGTGCAAAAAAAGACACTCGAGATATAATTACATAAATATAGAATAATTAGCAAGGGAAATGGGATGTTAATTGAATTTTAGGTAAGCGCGCTGCCTTATGCACGCGCATTTTATATGTCCAAGTTTCGTCAGAAATTGTGACATAGTGATGCCTAAACCCTTAAGCTTCTTCTTCGGCATCCATAAGCTCTGCCACGCTAACGAAGAGTAGAACCACTCGAATTTACAATTATTTAAAAAGCGCTAAAAATGTTGAACTTTGTTTTTATTGTATCTATTTTATTGTATGTTATTTGTATCTAAGGTAGTTACCTAACGTATCTATGTAAGCGGAATAAAAAAAGAGCAACTTCAAAATAATTTGAAAGTGAAAATATGAAGGTTATGGACCAAAATTGAGTTATTGTACTTTTTGTTAGCGCGACAGGCAGCTGTCCCTAAACATAATATACAAACAGCCATGAATCGGGTAAACCGTTGTACTAACATATCTCTCCACCACGGAGGTCGTCAATAGCAAAAAATGAATCACAATTGGTCAAAATTGCAATGATTTCTGAAACGGATTCTTACCAGCATGTATAATAGGTAAAGATGACATATCCTTGAGGACCGCGTCCACTAACACCTCTTCTTCCTCATAGAGCTCATGCTGCGCTATCCGCAGCTGGAACTTCTCCAAGTTGGAAGCATTTATACTGCAACAATAATCTATTGTTAATAAATGATTAACTTTTAGTATTAGTCAACCCTTTTTTTTATAACACAGGTAAAAAATGTTGTTTATAGACGACGGCGCCTTTAAGAGGCACACCGCCGAGCGGACCTCACACCTGGCTCCCTCTTACGAACCCCCCAGTGGCTGCCCACCGAGGACCCCGCAACTCTTACGGGCGCTTTACGGCATAATATCCGCTAAAAAATTTCTGCGAATACCTTCTACACTGCTTAATGCGAAGCCGCGGGGTCCCCGTTTAGGGATTCTACCACGAAGTATTTGTCAACCCTAAAACAGGTATTATGCATATAATTCAAATAAGGCTCAATTATTATTTTATATAAATCCTATTAATTTTGAATAGTTCCTCCATCTATATCTTTAAAAATATTTTAGAGCAAGAAATTAATTATTGAAAACTTGTGGGAAAAACTTGCGTGAAATTCAAATATCTGAAACGCGACCGAACGGTTGTTACGCAGAAACACATAACGACAAATCAACAAACAAGCGCCATGTTCACAGGATATGTGAGTGCGCGCGCACCAAACCTACCAATCTAGCTGTGGACTTGTTTGTTTTGTTACTATGGACTGTGACGTCACACCAAGAGTTCCAAGATAGCGAGCGATTAAAATACCCGTGAAAAGTTGCTATTTTTTTAGACACATTAGACTTTTTTTGATGTTGAATATTTCTATAGCATGTTAAGGGAAAGTAAACTGGAATAAAAATAATAATCATGCACATTTATATTCTTTTATTTTTTAAGCATGTAACTGATTGATGTTTAAATCTAAAGAAAATATAACTAGAAAAATAAGAAAGACATGTGGGTTACCTAAAATGCGAGGAGATGGCGTTGCCTTGCAGCTTAAGAATAGCTAGAGGAATTTCTACGCGGCCGTCAGGGCCGCGGTAGCATAATTGGTCAGTGCATTCGCCCGGATAGCGAAGGGTGCGGGGTTCGAGTCCCGTCAGCTGCCTGGTCCGCGTCGTATTTTGTCTAGTTATATTTTCTTTAGATTTAAACATCAAGCAGTTACGTGCTTAAAAAATAAAAGAATATAACTATAAAATGCTATTTCTTCTTTCAAATGTTTAATACTTGTAAAAGTATTCATTTTACATTGTGGGTTACCTACAATGCGAGGAGATGGCGCTGCCTTGCAGCTTAAGAATAGCTAGAGGAATTTCGACGCGGCCGTCAGGGCCGCGGTAGCATAATTGATCAGTGCATTCGCCCGGATTGCGAAGGGTGCGGGTTCGAGTCCCGTCTGCTGTCTGGTCCGCGTCGAATCATGCATATTCCCTGTTGGGAATAACAATGTTGTCAAGGGCACTTAAGAATTACAACAAAGCCCCAAAAACTACACAATGTCACTAACTAAAGCGTAACAATCGATTGCTTTATTGTTAACCTGTGCCTGAGCGCTAATGATTCTATGGATGTCTCAATGATGTTGGGGTTATCGAAACGTGCCATGAATGAAAACGACAAATTCATAACCGTCGCACCAAGAGCGATATCTAAGTTCTTTAAAATTTTCGCACACGTAACCTGGTCGTTAACGAGATTTACATGGAAGATTTTCCGATGGCGTGTTGGTTTTGGCTGCGTGGAACACATAAGTGGACGTGATTTGCCTACTACCTGCAGGTGCGAGGCTTCGGCGACGCCGCGCAGGTTGGAACTGAATACTAAGGAGCCATTGTAGCGTTCTCGATTTGTGGCATGCCCCGATAACCTGCTTTTAGAAATCAAGCCGCCAGCAACTCGACAATTTATGGACTCTCTTTTAGTGAGAATTGTGCTCGCGACAAGAGAGAATTCCAAAAACAGCCATGTTCCCGTTAAAGTCAAAGATGCGTTTGGAATTAATAAATGTTCCACATCCGTTGATCTCATTTAAATTACAATTTTAACAGATTGAAATAAACGAGAATTTCATATCAATTGTGACCTGTACGCCCAAGATTAACATATTTGTAAACAAGAAACTGAGCAACATGACCTATAAAACGAACAAATGATAAAGAATACTTTGTACCAGTCGGAAAATCATACAAGACGATCGCATGTATCAAAGTAAGACCTCTTCATACGACATGAAATCAGCTACAAGGGCCTCATCATATCTTGAGCAGCGTTACGAGGAAGCCATCACGCATTCATTCCATTTAGTTTTATTGTCCTAGACCCGCGCTTATCTCAGAGGTTACAGGATTTTAAATAAGATTCTTCGTCGACCTACAAAAATTTGCCTTACAAGATAAAGAAAGGTCGGCTTTTACGTAACATAATAATATAGAATCAGCTTGTCGTGGAAGTATGATATGACGGTCCTATCTGTAATACAGGACTAGGAAAGCCTTATAAACGTGTGAGCGTATTAAAGTGGGAACGGTGTGTGATTTTCTTTCTATTCTTTGCAATTTTCCTATGAGATTTCGCTTAATATTTGTTCTGTCGAAATTACGTGAACCGCTAGAGAGTCGCCGCGACCAACCTGTTTAGTTTTGATGCATAGTTCAGTGTTCGTAGCCCACAGTGAATGAAAAGCCTGAATGAAGGACGTGGGCCTTTATTGCAATGAATTTTACAAGAACACCAACATGAAATTCGCTTGTAGAAATGGGATAAAATGATTTCGTGGGAATGGGGAACGGACAGCCTCTTGGCAATGTTCGCGCTATCAAAGTTTAATTGCAGCAATAACCAAGTAACTAACAATTTAATTTGGCGACTCGCGGTACTCTACATAAATTGTACTCTTGGATGTCAGCTGTCGGCAACTTTGGACAATTTTCATCGTAATGTCCTCTCTGCGACGGTTTTCGCGTAATCGTTTAAATTAATATCATTTAATGGGTTGAAATTTTCATTATAAGTATCTTGCTGGCTTAGCTTTAATAGTATAAGTAGTGAGTACCTATTTGATAAAACCACAACGCAAATCCAAAGAATATTTTAATTTTCACTACCGTCTATTTATTCTTGATTCGGAAAATGTTTTTCATTTTCCGAACATTTCCCGCATGTTCAATCACCTCTTTAATTCCAAGTAGTAAGGTTGGACCGATGTCCGTTCTCTGAATTACAAGATAAAAGGTGTTGTAATTTTAGCAGTGTGACAAACGGGAAGAAAGTCCTGATTTTCAGCACTTTTTAATAAAATACTACTATAAAATAAACCACTTTGTGTTAAGCAAAATCTAATTACTAACCTCGGTTCTAGATCTTCCATTTCTCCAATAGTCGGGTTTTCCGGTCGCAACACGTTCAAGTCTCGATGTGGAGGGACCACGACCTGATGGTCTTCCAGTTTTCCTTGCAGTTGTTCATGGAGGATTTCTTCCAGATCTTCGTATTTGTCCGATGGGGGCGCTGGGGTGCGTGGCTCTGGCTCCCCACCACTGCTAGTTTCGCTCGGCGCGGATTGCTCGTATTCTCTCGAACCATTACTGCCGTTGCTGTTGACAATGGATGACGTTTTTATTATACTAAAGCTTGATATGATAAAGAAAAATTATAGGCCATGCTCGAAGGATTTCACTACGTAAGAGAGTCTAATAGGATTTGTCGCCATATTCTGGAAGATTTTATAGGAACATGGAGATAGTATTCCAAAAGATCACTAAGTTTGCCGACATATTATCTACCCATCTCAAGTGTTAAATGACTTGAACCAACTAAATTTAGTATAAAAAACATATTTTAATAGTCTATACTAGAATATATACTTCTATACTTATATTATAAAGAGGAAAGATTTGATTGATTGTTTGTATTGAATAGCCTCGGAAACTATTGCAGTGCTATTTTGGAAAAAAAATCACGCGCATACTCTACTCTACTCCGCGTCAGATCCGCGCGTAAAAATAGTAGTCTGTAAAACTTTCAGTGCACTGCTGGACCGATTTAAAATAAAATATACATTTAAAATCCTACATTAAAAGTTGGGATTCCGTATGAAAAATCTATCCCAGGGTGTGAAAAAATACCAAAAAATAACCTTATATCGCTTACGCTGCGGAAGTCATTGACTATAGAGCAATGTGATGTACTAAAGTTTTATAGAGGACCTAAATATCTAAAAAATCGTCCGCGATCATCATATGTCTAATTATTAAAGTTATGTCACATCTAAAGGTCCCATGCCGTTTCACCCGTGTTAATTTGAGGAAAAAGGTTATAGTGAGTCAAACTTAGAAGATGGGCATAATATCCTGTCATGGACTTCGTTATAGAACTATAAAGGGGATCAATTCCATGACGGAGTTGATTCCATGACGGATTGACTGATACCCTTTTTTTGTAACTTTAATCAGGCAACGAAATCTCCCAAATGGAATATTTTACCCGTTTTTGCAACATTTTCCATCGATACTCCGCTCCTATTAGTCGCATCGTAATATTATTTAGTCTAAAGTCTTCCTTAACAAATTCAGTATCTAACACAAAACTATTTTTTAAGATCGGACCTATTAGTTCCTAAGATTTGCACGTTCAACCAAAAAAATGGTGCATTCGGTACAATGGGCGATAAACTACGCAACAAAATTTTCACTATCAGTTAAATAAATGTTCATGGAAGGATTCGAATTATATAAAGAAATTCATTGTGTATAATACAAACCTACACTACAGCTCTATACCGAAGAGAAGCGAGGGCGGGCCATTATAATTTCATAATCATAAGTGACAGAATTCATCCTCAGAACTCAGTAACTCAGTTACTTCGTGATCATGACGCTTGCTTGACAGTGCCGAAATATCAGAAACTCACTAAAAACAAGGCACATGGTAACAATCCCATTAATAACATATATTACTATAATGTTAGTGACCATGAAAGTTCGTCCAAACATGGTCCAAACAGTTCGATCATTGGAGTCAGTTTAGCAATTTAGAAATAAAATTGTCTAACTATTAGGTACATTGTTCCTAAACTATAAGCGCTTGCGCTGCTGGTTTCTTGCAGTAATTGATTCAAATATATAAGCCGCGTTAAGATAGCTGCAACGCAATATGCAATGTTATATTTTCTATAGGAGCAATAACATTTACTTGTAAACACCCACAATCCACGCCAAATCCGCGCGTCCAGTCTGAAACGAACTAAATAACTATTGATTATAATTTAATTTAACAAAGTCGAAGTTTGGTAAAGATATGAAGATACGTAGTATTATTAACGAAATTAAGACAAGAATTTAATATTACTTTGACAAAATTGGAAAATTTGGCAGCAAAATAAGTGTTTAAATAAGACCAAATATTTATCTTTATCAAAGACACGGATACTTAAATAAGTCTCTTGTTAAATAATGAAGAAACACAATGTTAAAAATAAATAGAATTCTCATAAAATTAAGCGTAAAATATTGTATAAACAATTATCATAAAGTACTTTTCTTCCGTGATGTAGCAAATATGAGTTTTAATAAGAGAAGCAAAGTTATTTATTACTTTTAAATGAAATATACGAGTACTCGCAAACAAAACATTGAATGGCTTCAATTAGCAGGTACTCTTTACTATTCCAAACAATGATATCGATAAATGGGAGCCATCGTGAATAGACCGCTGTATTAATTGAATAAATCAAACAATTTCCACTCGAAGGGTTTCAAATTACCATTGATGACGGCAACACTTGTACACTGCTATTAAAACAATAGATTAACGAGGAGATAATGTACAGATTTATTTCAGGACATCATACATCAGATTTTGCTACCTACAAATTTTATACAAATTTTTATACTCGTGCAGTGTTCGTATACATTGAAGATATATTTTGGAAGATGTCTTTTATTCGATTAGTAATTTATGTAGACTACATAATTGTTTTTATATTCCGAAATTTTTTTTAGGAGACGGAAGTTTTTGAACTGAAAACTTGTTTAGCGGCGTTGTACACTTTTTTTATGGGTAAAAAATGTTAAACTCGCGTCAGGACTCGTGGCGTAAGACGAAAACAATAAAATTGGAAAGGTTGTTGACTTTCAATATATTGTACGAAACATAGTTATATTTTATTTTATCGTATTATAATAATAAGTCTAACTAGGACGTCCAGGTGAGACGACGTCCAGCTTTATTGGGAAGAAAATGCATTTTTTTACAATAGATGTCGCTAGGTGCGCTTAAATGTGATTTATGTAAGTTGATTTTTCTGAGAGATAAACTTTTTAATGTAATATAAGTTATCATGTCTGTGTACGATAGCGCAATACTGATAACTAACTTGCAATTCGTGCAAAATTATTCCCTAACCATTCCAAAAAATCAAAAGTGCACAAGTTTTCACTTCTGCCAGCACTCCCGGAGTGCAACCCGTCGTTTTTTTTTAACTAGAAGAAGAAGGAAGAATCTCCTTCTTCTTCTAGTTAATTACAATTATAAAAGAATATAAATTCAAGGTATATAATGCAAACTGTACCTACGGTTGCATACTTTTTACTAGCAGCGCTAAGTAATATTCAGGTGATTTTATAAATATTTAACCAAACCAACCATGCTCTCAAACTAAATACATATTATGGTCGCTTGTATTGCAATAACTATACTTTTGGTACAAATATTCCCTAGTACATTAGCACAGAATTCAAAAACCTAATAAATAGAAATTCGACTATTTAATAAGGTAGGTAAGTAAGTATGCACATTTATGAACCCTTTTTGAAAACAATATTATTCAATATTCTATTGTAACTGCATTACTCAGTTTTATATCTTACACTAAGATTCAACTTGGATTCAGCTAATCCTTTACCGTATGCGATCTGTTGTTTGTTGATGGGAAATAGGGTGTACATTTACACTAATATCACATTACATCAACGTACAGAACGGTCACGTTTTGAATGCGTTTCATCGCATAGCGGTAGCAATGGAAAATTGAAGACGAATAGGCATTTTAATTCTAAAATAAAACGAGTCAGCTGTTCCGGTGATGGTGTCTGATTGATGTTTGTTGTCCGATTTCAAATTTACGTGTGCGTGTGAGATGAGAAAAAATGTAATGGTTTACTTTATTTTTTACAAATATTAGAAATAGAAATAAAACAAATATTAGATAAGTAAAAAGAAATGTCTAAAGTTTGAGTAAATGATTATAAATTCCTTTAAAAAAACGACAAAGTGCGAATGCGTCCAAGGTATAACATTTGAAAAAGGTACCGAGATGTTTTAGTACTTAGAGCAAATACCTTCGAATAAAGCATGTTGTTTATATTGTAAAACGGCAATAAAAAAAACTTTAAATTAATTACGCTGACACACTGATCTGGCCACTGCTCTCCAACGAAGGCTTCAGATGTCATGTTTTGTACAGAACCCTAAAAAGTCGTAATAGAAATCCTAATATTGTGTATTTTCTGTAGTGAAACGCTTGGCAAAACATTTCCCCGTTTTTTTTTACTGAGTAGGTTTACCAGTAATTACCATATTGTGGTAGAAATACCTGGGCTCTTTAATAAACTGATGAATTATTTTTTTAAATTAATTAAGCGTAAATTCATGAGATTTACTGAAGATGAGTTTCAGAATTTCAATTATTCTTTATTTTTCAAGAAAATTTCAATATTTTCGAGTTCTTAGTCCTCCTGAAAAGTTTTCAACCCACTTATGTTTCAGTAATTGTACTTGAATGTGGTGTTTACTTGTAAGCTAAAGCTAAAAAAATATATCTATATATTTTATAACTAAAAAAATAAGTCTATGATTACCTGTTGTAATAATAGACTTCTTTTTAAATGAAATGAAAGGGCTTTACATGTTTCTATATTTTATAATTGGTATTATGATTTTCATATAATATGGGAGCTTGGATCAAAACAAAAGTGTATAAACTATCTTTACAGAATTTCAGAAATTATCCTATTATAAATACAATATAAATACTAGTGATAAGTATTATTAGTATCTATTAATAACTAAGGAATGTAGGTACGTAGTTCTATTCTTATGTTGATAAATACCTATGGTTGCGTATATTAAATTTTTTCAGGTTATCTATTCAAAATGGAATAGAATTGCATTAAAAAAACACTTATTTGAAATCATTTTTTGAACCTTTCGAATTTAGATGAGACAATCTCTTAAGGCTCTAAAGATGACATGACAGCAAATTGTGTAGTACCTAGTTACAGAGCTTTAAATTTTTATTTTTTTACAGCAGAATGTCTATTAACTATGATTAATTGCTAATAAAGTAAAAAAAAATATAGAAAAATAATAGTGAAGGACATTAGTTTGTGCACGCTGGGGCCGATTTCGTCGATGTCCTTTGTTAAATCAGTTTTTTATATTTTTTTATTTTATAGTCATATTTTTTATATAATTTTCATTTGTAATGGAAAGTGACTTCATGAGTTTTCTTATATGGAAGTAATTTTTCAATTTGACGACTCTGTATATAATACAGGGAGATAAAAACAGCCCTTGCTGAGTTTCTTGCCAGTTC